TTTAAAAAAATTTTATAAATAATCCATCAATAAAGTTCCAAAAAAACCTTATTTCTACGACTTTATGTATCATTATATTTATGATGATGGACGAGCACGTTGCATTGTCTTGACTCTGAGTTTGATCAAAAATACCAAAAACATGTTTTTTGAACGTTTTACACTGACAAACATGCCAAAGTCACAGAAAAAATATTTGACCAGACCTTAATATTTCTATACACTTTTTTAAAAAATTAGAAAACCTTCATATAAACATTATTCAAGTTAACAAAGTCACCCATTTTTCTTCTCAATTTTTCTAAAACTATCAATTAGTTAGCATCAAAATTCATTAAATTAATTTAACAGAACAATAGATCAATCAACATCAAAATCCAACAAATTCATTCAAAATTATAGCCAAAACTCTATTGAAAATATTATAAAATTTTAATTTAAAATTACTTATAAAAAAGCGCAAATTTGAAGACATGTCCAAAATATTTGTATTAATCAACATATTGCTTTTACATTCTGGACAAGCTTTCTATAATAATTTTAGAAAAATAAAAAAATTTTTAAATTTATTTTGAAATAAAATAGTTAGAATTTTAACTGGGGTAATTTTTTTATTTTATTTTTATAATTTATGACTCATCCGCATAAAAATATTTAATCAATTATAAATTTATTTGGTTAGAATTTGATGAAATGTGTGAACATAAAAATTAAAGTGTAGTCGTATTTGTATTTCCATTGGAATTTTTAATATACAGGGTAGTGATGCTCGGGAGAAGAAAAAACCCGGGAATCGGGAAACGGGAGTCGGGTCGGGAAATGACCTCGGGAGTCGGGATCGGGAGTCGGGAATTAGCAATAAAAAATTTTCCAAAAATTTCAAAAATTTTTGGCGCCTTCGGCGCCAAAAATGTCCAAAAAAATGTCCTGTCCAAAAAAAAAAATTAAAAATTTTTGAAGGTAAATTTTGAGAAAATTTTGAGGCGAAAATTTTGAGAATTTTTAGGTCAAGAAGTCAGATTTTTTCATTTTTTGCGCCGCAGCCAAAAATTTTGACTCTCATTGGAGTGAAATAGAAAGGGGTCTTGACCGATCCTTAAGGGTAACTTAAGAGTTTATTTCCCCGATTATTTGGAAAGATAAGCCAACAGCCTGTCCAAAAAACCTTGTAACCGCAAAGATAATCAGTGTTGGGTATTGCTGGAGGCTTTTTCTTTGAGCCAGAGCCCAGCTTTGATTTATATTTGTTGTCATTGACCTTAAGTCCTTAGAATCTCTCCATTGGAGTGAAATAGAGGAAAAGTGAAACAGAGAAAAATATTTTTACGTTCAATTTTGGTGGAATTTTGGTGAACTAGCCACATATCTCTTTATATCCCCTCAATAGTATTAACACCCCCTATGCAACATTAATCATCCATTGATATCTCTCTTTATTACTGCAAATCCCACGTTATCTCTTTAAATTCACCATAATCTTAGTAAATCACCGAAATCTTCTATACTACAACTCCATATATTCTTCAATTTCCAGCGCCGTAGGCGAAAATTTTGAGAATTTTGGAAGATCCTTAAGCCAAAAATCTTCGCTTTTCAGCGCCGCAGGCGAAAATTTTGGGAATTCTAGAAGACCAAGAGGCCAGATTTCTTCATTTTTTCTAAATGAAAATATAATTTTGTCAGAAAAATCCATTCTTAGGGGTGTATAAATTTCCCGACTTAGTCGGGAATTGACACCGGGAGTCGGGATCGGGATCGGGAGGCCAAAAACTCGGGAAATTTTCCCGAGTCGGGAGTCGGGATCGGGATACCCGAGCATCACTAATACAGGGTGACCATTAAAGTTTAGGACACACATTGGTAATATAAGAGTACATATCTCCGCGCCTGGAGAGTGGTACCGTTCGACTCAGCTCGCCGAGACGAATCGAATGGTACGGGTCTTATATCGGAACTAAAACTCCGGTATACTAAACTACAGCCGGAAAAAATGAGGTCTGTACTCTTCAATATTACCCACACATTTTATGCCATAACTTTATTAAACTTTAAGATATCGAGTTCAAATAAATCTTAAATTATAGAGAATTAACAAAAGAACAAATATAATCAAGAATATTTGAATAATCCACCCTTTGCGATAATACAGAGTACAAGATTGAGATATTAGGAATTGAGATTGTGGTTTCTTTCTTATAAATCCTAAACTCTTTTCTAACCGTTATTTTTACATTAATATTTTTTTGAAATATTTAAAAAGTGATAGGAAATGAACATTGATCTAATGATCTATTTTAGTTTGATATTTTAACAAATATTATGTAGACTAAAAAAGACTAAAAAACGATTTCTTTCTTTCTACGTTAGAAGCAAAGGAAAAGCAGCTTTTCTTATTTGCCTAGCACTTGGCCATTATTCTTTTGCCAAAAAGAAAAGAGAAGAAAGAAAAAGAAACTATCGATATGTGAAAATATGGGTAAAGCTTATGTTTGTTTGTTTGGATATTGAGAATTATCGTCATTGGAATATTCATCTTGAAGAATTTTAAAAAGTTTAGGAATTCTTGTCTCGAACTGAATATACATTCGAATCTACATAAATCTAGGTATTAAGCTTAAAAATGAATAAACACGGGTATTAACCAATTCTGAAGTGAATAGATAGGGTTGAAGAACAAGCAAAAAAGCAAGAATAAAATGAAGGACAAGTAGGAGTTGAAAATTCCGAATAATCTTTGAAATTAAAGCTCTGAAAAGGAGCCAACAATCACACATTTGTGATGCTTATTGTTAACAGAGGTGGTTCGGAACATTCAGAGGTGTCGGAAATCGGAAGAGCCGGAAATCGGAACTGGCTCAAAAGTCGAAACTCGGAAATCAAAATTTTTTCGGAAATCGAAGGAAAAAAACGTCGGAAATCGAAATTCCGACCAACCTCTGATGCCTAGATTAAAAGATTTAGGTATCTATCTCTGCTTAAACGATAATAAAACAAGAAATTTTTCCGGACTTACTATTATTTTCTGTAATATTTCGTTCCAAACACTTTGTTGAATTAAGTATTTTTAGAATAACTGATTCGCATTGTCTCCCTCTGTTGTCTTCAAATCTAACAATAATTCTATAGAAATTTTTAAAAAATATTTTAAATTAGTTCAAATTTAAAAATACACGAAAATCCAAGCTAAAATACAGAATATACACAAACATTTCAAAACCATTATTCTAGTGATAATTCGTTGTTTACACGTTTGACAATGACGCTATAAATTTAATTAAAATTTAATTTAAATTAATTTTAAAATAAATATACAGGCGGATATCGGTTTTACGTTTTAAGAGACCTTGGGGAAAAGTGTACGTAAAATTGAGATGTATTCAAAATTGGTTAATATCGCTTAGTTAATTCTTCCCATCTAGTAGCTAATTACCGTATTTCCTAAAATAGTACTCCCCCCTGAATTAGTACTCCCCCCTTAAATAATACTCCCCTTTGGAGGAGGGTTGAAAAATAGTACTCCCCCCTTAAATAGTACTCCCCCTAAAATAGTACTCCCCCCTAAAATATTTTTCCCCTATATTTGAAAAAAATCATAAAAGAAACATTGAATTATTCTATTGAAATTTACTTATTGAATTATTTTATTTATTCTGATTAGGGTTGTCGGTTTCACTTGATTCTTCGATAACCGAAACCGGACAGTTTTCGCTTACCGAAAACGAACTGAAATTTTAACCTATAATATGTTCTGGATTGATCAAGTGGGGTCTAAAAGTTCCAATTCCCCTAGTTCATCTCTAACTAGATCAAGTAGTATGGTTTGATAAAGGAATTTGAGAGAAAAATTAAGGATGAGTGTTCGGGACGCACTCATTCCCGAGCGTTCGGGACGAAACCCTACTTGTTATCACGCCTAAATATGGATATCCTAGAATTCGTAAGGATATTCGAAGAAAAAGAGATGTGGAGGATAACGGTGATTAATGCTGATAAATCCCTGGACACAGCGATTAGGTACATCAATTTCTCAGTGACATTGAATAATATCGGCGGATATATGCGGATTCGTAAGATTATGAGTCTGAAAAGATTAAGGGGGATATCAGTGTTTTTGAAGGATATCTAGGGAATTTGACACATACAAGTGTATTAACTGGTCGGGAGTTCAAGATGGATATAGTGGTAAATTTAGATATCTACCCTTAATCGATTAAATCCCCTTATACTCCTCAATATCACTCCAAATTAACTAATATCCTTCTTGATTTTCCTCAATACCCCTTATTTTATGTCACTTGTGTTTAAATGTCCCGAAATTTGCTCAATTTTATAATAATTTGAATATTTTTTGAGAGCTTTTAATAATTAAATTTTTTGAAAATCCGGGTCGGATCAGGCATTTTTCAGATAACGAACTCAAATTGATTTAGAATTTTGAAATAAATTTTCTTATGATAAATGAAAAAAGGGTTGAAAAATAGTACTCCCCCCTGAATTAGTACTCCCCCCTTAAATAGTACTCCCCTTTGGAGGAGGGTTGAAAAATAGTACTCCCGGGAGTACTATTTTAGGAAATACGGTAACTTAGGAAATTTTATGTATAATACGGAATGAAGTAAATCTTGATGTACGCATGTTCAGGCAGTACTATTTTAATTCATAAAATATGTACCTTCAATGAATTAATCTAGAGACTGGCCAAGTGCCAAAAATTAAAATTTTCGAGCAAAAATTAATTTCTTAAACGTTTAAGTTAACGTGAGACACTAATCCTAAAAATAATCAAAGGCTTCGAATCTTGCGATTTTTTTAGTTCCCATGCATGAGTAATACTATGTAAAGTTTTTGTAAGGATTATTTATCTGGCAGCATTTGGTGTGTTTAAATATTTAGTTAAGAAGATAAAAAAGAAGTAAAAGAATTTCTAAATTCCAGATAAAAATGATCATCAGAATATTTTAGGAAATAAAAATATTTGGAGAAAATCAAGGAATCTTAACTTATTTAATCAAATATTTGACCTTATTTAAGATTAAACTCTCCCTTACTTGAGGAATATTTGACTGTTGAATGGTATTCTCCTGAATGTCGTTAGTATTAGAAACATTTTGATCCATAAGGGGCGTTTCTGCTGTTTCAACAGGAGGGGCCTCATGATAACTTGGAGGTGAAGAGAGTAATTCATCGTTATTAGAAGAAGATAAACTCGTCCTTGCCTGGGGAAGATATGACATTAGATGGATGTTCCCTTGAGTGTTGCTAATGTTGTTTTGCTCCATAAGGGATGTTTCTGATGTTTCAACATAACTGGGTGTTGTTTCATGATAACTTGGAGGTAGTAAAATCATCTCTTCATAATCAGAAGATGATACACTCATTTCTTCAAAAAATATTTTTAAAATTTAAAGAGAGAATTAATTGAAAAATAAAAATTTGAAGAGAATCAATCAAAATTATTTGTAAAAATTTTAATTAAAAAAACTTTATGCTTTAAAATTGATAGAAAATCAAGTCTAACAAAAAAGCAATTTCTGATGAATGATAAATATTATTCACGTTAAACATTTTTAACTATTGGCAATATTTAAATATACTATTTACATAATTAAAAATACCAAGACATAATTAGGTAGTAAAGTTTATTAATAATATAAATGACTTGAATAATTGGAGGGGTTATCTGGATAAAATGAAACAAATAAAAGCAAAAAGGCATTAAAATAAAATTCAATTTTTGAAACTACAGTGGAAGCTCTCTGTCACTTTATCTCTTACGACGGTAATATTGGTCTGAGGGGTGATACGATAAAGAGAGATTCCACTTTTGTGATCCAACTTATTTTTAGATATAATACCACATTTTTTTAATTTTAAAAAAAATTAAAGAAATTATAATTATCGTCTGCCCAAATAAAATCATTTAGGAACCCAAATCATTAAAAAATTGTCATTAAACTTGTTTGACTATAACAACATTCGGGGCTCTTGATTTACTCCCCAAACGTGTATAAGTCCCAATATAAGTGTCACATCGAGTGCAACGATGTTCAGCATCTTTACAGCTATCAACGCAAAAAGGAATACAACAACAACCACAAAAGAGTCTTTAAAAATAAAAAAATAATATTTTGTTTCAATTAAAAAAATTACCCAAAAAGCAAAAACAAAAAGCACAATAACCAAGCAAATGTTCCAGAAACATAATTGACACTAGTTTGAACTTGTTGTCTACATGAATGACAATAAGCCTAAAAATTGAGCGGAAATTTTGTTTGATATTTTGGAGATTTTTGTATCTCTGGGTAAATATCGAGTAATATATGATAATTATTTCAGTCTTTTGCTGGAAAGTAGAGATCGAAATTTTTGAAAAGCCTCGGCCTGTTCCCGAGTACCGGGTTTGATTTATTAACCTGGGACGGATCCCAGGCATTTAGTCCAGGAAAAACGATGGTAAAAATGCCTAGGCCTGGATTCTGGGTACAGGAAAAACCCAGGCCTTGGTCCAGACCCAGCTCTTTCGGGTAGGATAATTAATAAGTAAATAAGGAAATCAAAATTTATTGAGGGAAAAGATGTCAATCACAGAGCATATCCCCTCAAGTCTTAAAGCTTCTCGAGTTTTCAGTTTCGAAAGCTTTAAATGTTATACTTAGCTAACGATTGTTGGCCAAAATTCAAAAAGCAAATTTTCAAAAAATCATTTAATTTACCTGTTGCGGAAAGGGTCCAAGAGCTAAAGTCGATTGAGGGATAGTAACTTGCGCAGTTTCCATTATTTGAGGATTTGGTGGATACACACTTATATTTTCGTGTGTTGTTTCGTGATAATTTGGAGGAGGCACTTTCATTTAATTTTTTTCTTAAAAATTTTTTCAATAAATTTATCAAAACACAAATAAAAATCTTTAAAAATTTGCAAATATTTTCATAAATTTTCAAATAAAATCTCAAACTTAAGCTAAAATCTGAGTCATTTCTAAGAAAAGGAGTCTCGTTCCTTTTAAAATTGTTTTCTTGGCCAACTTTCTAGGCCAAAAAATAAATAAAGATGAGTAAAAAAGACAGAGAATAATCGATTTAAAAAAAGTAAAAAAGGCTGGCAGGAATAAATATTTATTTACGTGTTTGTGAGTATTTCTTTTATTTTTTGACACTCCTTTAAAAAATATTTTGGGGCGACTTTAAATTTAATTTAATAGGAATTTTCTATATATGTATGTAGTAGGGTTTCGCCGGAACCGAAATTTTGACCGGAACCGGAACCGGAACCGGATCCAATTTGAGTTCCGGTTCCCGGAACCGGAACCGGAACTTTAAAAAAAATTTTTTAGAAAATTTTAAAAAATTTGCAGGTTAAGTAGGGTGTCGATTCAAACAATTCTTCGGTTAACCGAAACAGAACCGACTAACCGAACCGATACCTTTGATTAACCGACCGAGAACAGACAAACCGAACCGAAAAATCCGAACCGAACTACCCATATCCCCTGATATGTCCGATACCCCACCAATTACATTATATCCCCTTTGATACCCGAATTTCTTCGAATTACGATATACCATTCAACTTCCTTTTACAGCGCCGCAGGCGAAAATTTTAAGAATTTGTGAGGACAAGGAGCTAGATTTCTTCTTTTTCTGGCGCCGCAGGCGAAAATTTTAAGAATATTGCAAGGCCAACCGGGGAAGGCCAACCCATATTTTTAAAAAAAATCAATCCTTAGGGGTGTAAAAAAGTTCCGGTTTGGCCGGAACCGATTTGTAAACCGGAGCCGGAACCGGAACCGGAACCAATTTAAGTTCCGGTTCCCGGAACCGGAACCGGAACCAAAAAAACACCGGAACTTCCGGAACCCGGAACCGGAACCGGAACTTCCGGCGAAACCCTAATATGTAGGTATATTAGTTTTTGTGATTTTAATTTTTATAAGCGGTTTAAAAATTGATAAAATATATTTAAGACGAATATTAAATTCTGAAGTGGAAATTTATTTCATTTATTAATCAAAATTTCTGCTTAGATAATAATTAAATTAGGGAGAGAAAAGAATTATGTATTCGATTACAGATATAACGAACTCAAAAGGACCGAAAAGCAAATTAAATCGAGAGTCATTTTAAGGGGAAAATTTTAGAGTTTAGTCGAAAAAGTATTCGTATTTTATGAGGCTCGTTACAACAAAAAGTAACATATCTAGGTTCAAGTTTTAGACAAAGGAAGTTTTTTATTTAAAAAAAGTACTTTTTATGTTTTTAATTTTAGTCTTAAATTTATTTATCAAATTAAAAAATATTAATTAAACTAATCACGAGAATTTCGAAAAATAAAAAAATTTAAAAAAAAATGATGTAATGTGTTTACAAAAAATATTTTAAAAAATTCTTTTTTTAAATTCTGATTACTAAACAATTTATAATCATTTAAAAGAGGATTGATTTTTAAAACAGCGGGTATAAAATTTTGATAGAAAAAATAGATAAAGAGAAACACAAATTGATGACACATTACTTGAAAATTTAAACAAAAATTCAAATAAAAAATAATTTTTTTTTTAAATTATATTGGATGTTCGATAAGCCTTATTATATATAGAGATAGTGGATCAGATATCCGAACTTCCCTATTTGAATGTCGATTCCGGATCCAGATATATGAAAATTCCCTAGGATCCGCCAAGAAAACCGTTGAAATTTCCTCCCAGTCATTGATAAACCTTTGTTTTGACATTATTGTTTCGTAAAATTCGGCGGAAGACGGAAGCGAAGGATGATACTGACTTATGTACATACTTAAGTCTTGACTTAAGTATGTACACCTCTATTTTCGATACTTGTTTTAAAATTAGTTTTTAAGAGATAAGGAGATGCCAAATAGATTATAACCTCAATCTAATATATCCCTCATTTAGCACCGAATATTAAAGTACGAAATACGACTTTGAATGGCTTGATTTTGGATTTTTATGTCAATTATTTTTTTCCTTCAATATCTATGATGATGAAAAACAGCCTTAATTTTATTTAAAATAACATCATAATAATTTAAAAAATTAATTAATTTAGCAAAAATACGTTTATTAATTTAAATTCCAGCCAAATTTAATTTAAAAAAATAAAAAATCAAAAAAAAAAACAATTGAAAAATAATTTTGTTTAAAATTAATGATAAATTACCAATTTATTATTTTTTTAATTTAATTAAATTTGTAATCTTTCCTTTTTCATTAAAAAATAATTTTAAAAAAATGTCTACCAAATTAATTAAAAAATTAATTATATTATTTGTTTTATTTTGTTTAAATTTAAAAATAAATGGAGGTAACCCATCTTTGGAAGAATGTAATAAAGTTATGATGAAAGGGAGTCGAATCTATGGATCTAGAGATTGCAAGTAAATAATTTTTGTATTTTTTAGGAAATATGAAGTGTTGCCGTTGTCGAGTCGGGCCGACGTTCGAGACATTTTATTCGGGCCTTATTTTTTCGGATCGGACCGACCAAGTCTTTTTCGGGCAAAATTTGATGCCCGGCTCGATCTTTCGGACCGGGCCGGATAATATTTTTTGGAGAAAAAAATATTTTTTAATAAAAATTAATGTCGGATCCTCCTTTTAAATGCATCCTTAAGGCTGAATTATCGTATTTAAAAATAAATTTATTTAAATTACTATCTGTACCCTTTTAAAGGATTAAGCATAACATTAATAAACTTGATGTGGAAAACACCCTAGGCACATGCTGACACAAAATTGATATGGTTGATGAAGAATTTTTTAGATTTAAAAGACCAAAAAGCCTTTTTCTTTCCTTTTTTGATATTTTAAACTTTTGGATAATCCTTAGTTTTTGGATAAACATAAAATGCATTAATGTATTAACTGCTTTAAATGTTAGTAAATGGATTACCGTATTTCCTAAAATAGTACTCCCGGGAGTACTATTTTTCAACCCTCCTCCAAAGGGGAGTACTATTTAAGGGGGGAGTACTAATTCAGGGGGGAGTACTATTTTTCAACCCTTTTTTCATTTATCATAAGAAAATTTATTTCAAAATTCTAAATCAATTTGAGTTCGTTATCTGAAAAATGCCTGATCCGACCCGGATTTTCAAAAAATTTAATTATTAAAAGCTCTCAAAAAATATTCAAATTATTATAAAATTGAGCAAATTTCGGGACATTTAAACACAAGTGACATAAAATAAGGGGTATTGAGGAAAATCAAGAAGGATATTAGTTAATTTGGAGTGATATTGAGGAGTATAAGGGGATTTAATCGATTAAGGGTAGATATCTAAATTTACCACTATATCCATCTTGAACTCCCGACCAGTTAATACACTTGTATGTGTCAAATTCCCTAGATATCCTTCAAAAACACTGATATCCCCCTTAATCTTTTCAGACTCATAATCTTACGAATCCGCATATATCCGCCGATATTATTCAATGTCACTGAGAAATTGATGTACCTAATCGCTGTGTCCAGGGATTTATCAGCATTAATCACCGTTATCCTCCACATCTCTTTTTCTTCGAATATCCTTACGAATTCTAGGATATCCATATTTAGGCGTGATAACAAGTAGGGTTTCGTCCCGAACGCTCGGGAATGAGTGCGTCCCGAACACTCATCCTTAATTTTTCTCTCAAATTCCTTTATCAAACCATACTACTTGATCTAGTTAGAGATGAACTAGGGGAATTGGAACTTTTAGACCCCACTTGATCAATCCAGAACATATTATAGGTTAAAATTTCAGTTCGTTTTCGGTAAGCGAAAACTGTCCGGTTTCGGTTATCGAAGAATCAAGTGAAACCGACAACCCTAATCAGAATAAATAAAATAATTCAATAAGTAAATTTCAATAGAATAATTCAATGTTTCTTTTATGATTTTTTTCAAATATAGGGGAAAAATATTTTAGGGGGGAGTACTATTTTAGGGGGAGTACTATTTAAGGGGGGAGTACTATTTTTCAACCCTCCTCCAAAGGGGAGTATTATTTAAGGGGGGAGTACTAATTCAGGGGGGAGTACTATTTTAGGAAATACGGTATATTAATGCATTAAGTGGTTTCTTATAAATTTCCTTATAAATCTTTGCATTAAATGCTTAGGTTTTTAGAAAATGGGCATAACCGGTTTTTAAAACCGGAATTTTTGATATTTTTTGCCTATAAATTAACCGTTTTTAGAAAATTTTAAAAGCCGAAACTGGAAGTTTTAAAATTGGATTAAGCGAAAACCGCGGGGTACCGGTTGTCTCCAACCCTAATTAAAATGTATAATTAAATAAATAATTATAAATCGCAGTGTATTTTTAAAATAAAAATTTATTTACCGTAAAACTTCTAATATAAGCACATCTTCCAATAGAAGCACACCCTCTAATATAAGCACATCTTCCAATAGAAGCACACCCTCTAATATAAGCACATCTTCCAATAGAAGCACACCCTCTAATATAAGCACACCCTACGAGAGGATCAGGATCGAAAAATTGAAGCATGTGCTTCAATTAGAAGTTTTACGGTAATTTTATAATATTAAATTACATATTTAATAAAAAGGTGTTTCAAAGACGTATTTGAATGTATTTTCAAATTATACATAAACTATGCATGCGATCATCATTCGAACCCAAATCACAAATATTTTGGAAATAATTCATGTGAATATACTTATTCTACATGTGCTACTTTTATTGAAGAAAAGAAAAATAAATGTTTAATTGGAATGTGTGATTGTTATATGTGAGTTTTGATTGAAAGAAATTAAAAAAACTTTTTAATTATACGGGAGCTTTAAGGGGATAAAGTGGGATATTTTGGCATTTGATGGGAATAAACTTTCTTTAAAACTACGATGGTATAGATTTCTTCCATTTTTTGCAATTCTTGGACTGAACCGAAATTTCAGACAACCCTAGTATAGACTATTTAATAAATATTTATTAAAGTTTTTATTAGACAAATTTCAGGCCTATGATTGACTGTTTTAGCAAAAACCAATGTACGCCGGTATCTAATAAAAGTTTGGCCATGCCGATAAGAAGTTAGATTATTTATTAAATTTATTTAGAATTTTTTCCTATTTTTCCAAATTTTAGTTCTAAAGTTTTTATATGTCAGAGATTTTCTAGAATAGGCGAGGACTAAACTGATATTACTCGTAATAAATATTTTAATTTCTATTTAATTCAGAACTCCGTTCAACGGATAATGATTTAACATTTGATGAAGTGGTCAATGGATTTCTCCCGGAAGTCAAAAATTAAATAAAAGGAAATTTATTTGTTAGAAATTAAATTTAAATTTTTTGTAAAAAAATTTTTTCTTAAATAAAAATTGATCAACTTTGGTTATTTGTTTTCTGGATTTAATGGATAGATTTAAGATGGATATGGGTGGTTGTCGGTTCTGGACAGAACCAACACGAAGAACCAGGATTTTTCGGGTTGGTTCCGGATCTCCGAAGATTTTCCAAGAACCGACAACCCTAATCCTGATGTTAACAAGGATATTAAGGCTACTAATTATATAACTTATTTACATAACCATTTGTGAAACTAGATGACTAGTGATCGGAATTTCGTACTTAATACCGAAAAATGTAGAAAAATAACCAAAATTATGTAAAATACCAATAAATACTGTTGAAATTGAAATTTTATCGGATGGTATTCCTTCCGTAACTACCGATACGTAATATTGAAAATATCGTCGGTAGTACTGTAAGTTCCATAGTAGATTGAACAAAATGAAAAACACGAATTAAAAAACAAAATAAAATTTAAATATAAAGACTCGAACTCGGCAACAGATACTATTATAATCAAATTGGCTCAGTTACTTCCTTTTAAAAAGTCGAGAGTTAAGCCAAAATGATTTTAAAAGCTTATTTACTATTAAATATTTTAAATAAATCAATTTATGCCTTTAAATTAAAAGAAATATTTCCCCTAAGTGACTGAGCGAGAAGTAAATTTACTAACGAGGAATTTTAGAGTGCAAGACCCATTCTTATTTTTCTCTTAAAAGTTTAAATCAAAAACTACTTTATAAATAATACCAGGGCTCCGATTCGTACTTTTTTAAAAGTATTGTACTTTTTTATCGACCTTCGTACTTCCGAAATTGAATTTGTACTTTTTTGAAAGTATGTACTTTTTTATCAACATTTTGGATTAAAAATGAATGTTAAATAAAAATTTTAAAAATATTCTTGGCAAAGTGTAAATATTTGTTTTTTCTCTAATATTGAACAGTTACTTCGTTAAATATTTTTCTTTTATTATTATTTATACAATAATTTTTATTTGTTATCTATTTCAGATGAGCTTAAAACGTAGAAATTCATTCAATCCCGATTGGGAGAAGCAATATAATTTCGTAAAAAAAAGCAGAAAAGGTGATGGCTATTTTTTCTGCTTATTTTGTCAGAAAGATTATAACATTGAGTCAATGGGAGTTTCTGCCCTTACGCAGCATCAAGACAAAAAGAAACATAAGGAAATTGAAGAGGAAAAAATGAAGAACGAGACAATGAAAAGTTTTGTAAGGAATAAGTCAGTTCTGGGTACAATAGATATGCAAGTTGCAGCAGCAGAAGGTAAACATTTTATTAAAACTAGTAACTAATCTTAAATTGTAGGAACCTGGGCATATCATGTTGCGAAGCACCATCAATCATTTGCTTCGACTGACTGTGCTTCATCTCTTTTTAAAGTGCTATTTCCTGGTTCAGATGTGGCAAAAAAGTACGGTTGCGCTCAAGATAAAACAGCAGCGATTATTAAAGGTTTAATTAATAGACATTCCAGTATTATTTATTGTTTTAGGCGTCCTTAGCCCGTTGGTTATGGAAAATTTAAAGAACGAACTCGGAAATCAACCCTTTTCGGTGTGTATTGATGCGAGTAACCATAGTGCGAAAAAACTTGTGCCTATTGTAATTCGATATTTCAATGGTAAATCTGGACTACAGACGAAGATGCTTGATTTGACCGCACTACCAGGCGAAACAGCTTCTCAGTTATACGACTGGATTTGCACTGTTATGACAAAACATGATCTAGATTTCAAAAATTTGATTAGCTTCTGCGCAGATAATGCTCCAACTAATTTTGGTGTACCTGAACAGCTTCAAGAAGGTAGGGGCGGAAACAATATTTTTACAAAACTCAAAGCAAAAAGAAAAAATTTGATTCCAATAGGATGCTCTGGTTTACATTTTGATTTACATTTTCTTTGTTTTACATTTTTTCTTTTAGCTCATATTCTTCATAACGCGGCAAAAAAAGGCGCAGAGCAGCTTTCTTTTGACATCGAATCGGTTGTTTTCAAATTAAATTCCTATTTCAAAACATCTACAACTCGGCACACAGAATTTCAGGATATTTGTAATGAATTTGATGTTAGTTTTCTACTTTTATACCTTTCTACTTTTAATTTTAGACTAGTTTTTCGTCTTTACCCACTCATGCTGCTACAAGATGGACAACACTAGCAAAAGTGATAACAATAATTTTGGAAAAATGGGATCCTCTATTTCAACTTTTTGAAAACCCTACTAAACCTCGTCTACTTCGTGATTTTTTTCAGTCCGAAAATTCAAAGCCAATATGTTATTTTTTGCAAAATGTTCTAAAAATATTTAATGATGCAATTCTAACATTACAGGTTAATTTTATTTTATTATAAATGCAATTCCATATAGAGAGAGAATATGCTACTACCTGACCTAATTGAAGTCATGGAGGGATTCAAAGCAAAAATTGAAGCGAGGCTTAATGGAGATGGGAATTCAGGAAATCCCTTTTTTGGTGGCTATTTCACGCTTCGACGAGCAACGCCTGAACAGGAAACAGAATTTTGTGTAAGAATAAAATTCGCATTAATAAAATCATATTACTTAGAATTTCTACAAAATTGTCCTCAATTATATTGAACGTTGGTTCCAACTTCAATTGTTGCCAAAAGGGATTTCAATTATTAATTTGGAAAATAAGTAAGAATTTAGTAAGAGAACGTAAAATTAAATTCATTTTTCAACAAGGGAATTGATTTATTCGGAAGTTGTCCTACTGGCAGAGCAAATTTGCCCGGAGAATTCAGAAAATGATGAACTTTTTGATGAAGTTTCGCAATTAAATAAAGCTCTGAATGGCATTAATGAAGAGGATTTTTATCTCAAGACAACAGAGCAAAAATGGAGAATGATTTTTGATGTTCCTGGAGCTACAAAAAAATACAAAAACTTGTACCGGATCGTCAGTGCAGCTATTTCGGTCGAATTTCTTATAATATTTCATTTATTAAATTTATTTTTTAAAGATCCCAGTTTCAAATGCATTTATAGAGCGCGTCTTCTCAATGGCAAGTATTCAATGGACTAAAGAAAGAAATTCGCTTGAGGTTAAGACTGTCAGGGCTTTACTTCTTGTGACAGCGAATTTTGACATGTCATGCAATGAAATGCACAAAATGCTAAGTGGAAACAAAAAATTATTAGAAAAAATTAATTTAGGAGAGAAATATAAAAGATTTGAGCACGAATAAATATTTTCTGATTTAATTTTAAATGTACTTTTTATTTGGAAATTTTCTCCCTATGTACTTTTTTTACAAGATTTTGATACTTTTGAGTGCCATTCTGTCGATCGGAGCCCTGAATAATACTTTAGTTTCAACGGAAAAGAAGAGTTATTAGTCAAAAGAATTTGTGAGATAAAAGTAAGCATTTTGATTTTGTGAGATACCGTATTTACTATGATAACAAACCTGGGTAATTATTTTTTGATGCAATCCTCTTGACGGAGGCAATTATTCGAGTTTGAATTTTAAACGTGTGGTGGGGCATTTGTTTAGAAGCATAATAATTGCTTCAACTATCGCTGTAGTGAACTCGGGTAATTATCTGATTGAGGTAATTAATACAAATCATACGGTAGGCCATAACTTTAAGCTAATTGTATCGAATCTTCACACCTGACTACACGATCTGACTCATAATGGTTAGAGTAAACACTATGGCTTCAGTTGCTCGTCTATTGTTGCTTGGTTTTGTTCACAGTAACATAAGCCTATTACCTCTTAATAAATGGGGTGTGTTTTCTAAAATAACAAACATCTTATGATGCAACAGTTGCACCCTGAATCGCTCTATGGGGTTCCTGTATGTGTTTTTACCTTCTTTTTTGTGTTTCCAAACAGTGTTTCCAAACACTGTTTGGTTCGATAGAAAAAATTTAAGAGAAATAAATTTTTTAGGCTAAAATTTTTCCTTTAGCGTTGTTAGCGAATTAAAATTTTTCGAAGGCCATTAAAGGTCGTCTGCCCTCGCCCGCTTTTAATTGGATTTCGCTTCCGGCCTTCGGCATTCATTAACATGTGGTTGGTTTCGCTTTGAGCTTTTCGCAACTCGTCCACTTTTGGATGATTTCGTTTCGAACCTTCGACCCTCGTTCGCATTTGGATTAGTTTCGCTTTTGGCCTCGGTCCTCGCCCGCTTTTGGACCTCGAACACCTCAAAAAATTATAAGCTTCAACAACATTCCCTTGGGTCACATAGTTTAAGCAGCAGTTTCCGCTATCTCACCCCGTTTTCGAGGTGAGATCACCCCGCTATCTCACCCCGATAATTTCCCAAATCCCTCATGCAATTTTACCCTTTAAATTTACCACTTTCAAATCCCCTCCTGTTACCGTTATAGCAAGCAACTTTTTTTAAATCCCTGTTACCGTATTTACTCTAGTAATCCCCCAGTCTTTATTAATTCCCCAGTCTCTATTAATTCCCCACCCTAGAGATGGGTTGAAACAATAATCCCCCTGGGGAATTACCAGAGTAAATACGGTATCTTGTAATATTTATATTACAATCAAATTGGCTCGATTAAAACATTTTACCAAGGAGAGAGTTAAGCCAAAATGATCCTTAAAAGCTTATTCTCTTTTAAATTTTTAAAATAAATCAATTTACTGCCCTTTAAATTAAAAGAAAATTGCCCGAATTTATTAGCGAGGAATTTTAAACAGGCGAGACTAGGCGATTATTGGCAAATAGATGTGGTATTCTTATTTTTCTCTTAAAAGTTTAAATCAGAAATTGTAGATGATCAGTTACAAGGGACAAGAAAGAGGAGTCTCAAGTTTTCGTTTTTACTGGGTAAAACCAAGTACAATAAAAAGTTATGTGATAACTATAATGTTCATGCTGTGAAATAATTCATTGGATACCAGTTGGAATTGAACCATCATGGAAAGGACCCAGATCGAGGCACAACCAACTGTGCCACCATCCAACTCAATGATGGGCTAATTATTTTTTTATAAGATAGTCTATAACATGTTTAAAATTATAAAAGCATGTTTAAAAGTATCGAAACTATGTTTAAAAGTATATTGGAATTGAGGTACTTCAAGGATTGTTTAAAAAAATTATAAGCATTTCTAATGTTTATTTAGGTGGTCTCGAATTTTTCTGGCTTATCGAGACAAATTTAAAAAAATTAAATGTCGAGAAGTGATCTTTCCCTGGTTTAAATTTCGCAATTGCTTCATTGTGTAGCTTGTGATTAAATTTTATTTAGCGTCTTCCTTGGGTAGTATTTTATGCTGGGAAATTGACATTTATTTTAGTTTTACTTACTTACTTGCCTTCATTTTTAATTTAAATTAAAATATTTTCAAAATATAAAGTATTACGGTAACATTAGAGAAAAGACTCAAAACAAGTTTTATCACCAAAGCTTTGATTAACTTTTATTTTGAATAAGTTTATTAAAGCTTCGTTTAACCTTCTGGAAAGAAAAACACTTCTTTAAATATTGGACGATCAAAGCTTTGATTTTTCTTGAAAGCTTTTGATAGTTCTGTGTTTCTAAGCTTTTCAAGGATATTTTTTTAAGAGAATATTTACACAATATATAATTTTAGAATAATTCTCTCTTTAAATAATTTTAAATTCCAGAATGTCATTTAACGATTTAACTCAACAATCCATAATATATCAACAATTATTGTCTGAGCAAGCCGGCAATAAAGAGAAAAATTCTCGTCGAATTAATACAAACTGCAATATTTGTGGACGTTTGACATGTTGCTATCTGTTTTATAAAGCTAAATCTGCTAGTTGCGATCGTAAGAATTTCCTCAAGTTATGAGTTTTACTCATATTATTTAAGGTTGTCGTCAATTTTTTCGACGTACAGCAATTAATCAAAAATTCTATTTGTGTTTGTACGAAGGAAATTGCGTCATATCTGAATGTAAACATTTAATATTTCCTTTAATAAAATTGAACTCGAATTAGAGGAGGCGAGGGTTAATCAGTATACTCGTATATTTCTATTAGACGCAATAAGGGATCCTTAGCGATTTATGGTTTATTCTCTCTACCATTAAACTCGTTATATACTTAGTTACTGCGGAGGAATTCCGTTCTGATTCACCAAATTAGGAAACGAGGCAATATTTTTGAAAATTTTAAAAATAATTTTTGTTTCAATTACTTCATTTAAAAATTAATTTTTAGTTGGCAACAACTGCAAAAGCTGCCGATTAGATAGATGCATTTTATCTGGAATGAGTACATTTATGTTTAAAGGAGTGACTAAAACATCATTGGCTAAGATAAACGAATTGATGGATAAACGTCGTCGAGAGGTTATTGAGAGAATATTAGAAGGACAGAAGGAGGAAGGAATGTCGTGTTAGATCCAATTTGGAATGCTCTATTACAACACTGTACTTTTTTAAAAGTCCTGTAAAGCATATAGCTATTAATTTCCTAAGGCTGAGCAGTAGGCGGCGTGGTGTAATGGCTAACACATCAGTCCGGTCTACTGAAGATGCTGGTTCGCTCCCAGCCGCCGAATAACCTTTTGCACTAGCTAAAGGAGAGAAATAGCTATAGCCCAGCTGCTTTACTGTCCCAAAGTTATTGACTTGATTAGATACTTTTTTCAATTTTATGAAAGATTTTGGATGGACTTATGTATAATCCATCTGTTGCAACGCTGTCAATAATCGAAAAATTTTTTAAGCGTCCGTTTCACTGTATTTAATCTCCTTTATTAAATTATTTTTTCGTAAAGCATAAATCTAACCTGAACAAACATTTAAATATTTTATTTTTAATGATTTTATTTCATTTTTATTTAACTCAATTTATAATTTTAAATTAATATTTTTTATTTAAAAATGAGTAAAATAAATTTTATTTTATTCCAGAACCAAAATTTAAAACTCAATCAATTTAACTTTGGATTGAGTTTTAAATTTCCTTTAATTTCTAATAGATGCCTTTAAACCAGGGCATATACATATTAGGACATTTACGATAAATTAAGATTTAAGCAAAGGCTTAACAACAACTTTTTCAATACATATGTATGTATATCCGGATCCGGAAAAAGGCCGGGTATCCGAAAATTTCCAACTATCCGACAACTTATATGCCTTTAAATCAGGCATGTATTAGGACATTTAACCAGGATCTCTCTCATTTAAGTGTAGAGGTGATGGTTCTTGGACCGAAGGAGCGAAAATCTCCAGTTCTTCAGTTCGTTTCCAAACCAACAACCCTTTTACAGCAAGAAACGTCTCCTTACGAATTCCTGACAAGTAAGCGTTTTCAGCTAGCGAGTTTTCTTATATTTTTTCTATTCCAGCTAGCGAGCTGGAATTTAATAAAAAATTAATATTTAATTCAAATTGTTTGCACAGGACTTTAAATTTTATTTAATACTAAATTCAATTTTAATATGTCATTAACAAATTATATCAATGAAGGATTCAATGAAGTAATGGGAAATGAAAGCCTTAATGATTTCGAAGATTTAAGTGATATTGAAGAAAATAACGAAGAAATTAAAGTTGATAATCAAAAAGTTGAAGAGAATAAAAATAAAAATTTAAAAGTTCGAAAAGTGGCAACAAAGACTAAACGCAACCTCAACCCAATTCCAACAGAATGTAGTATCTGTGAACGTATGGCTAGTGGATATATCTATTATGGAGTAAACTGTTGTGATGGTATATGTAGATTTATTTGGAAGTTTGAATTAATATAAATATTATTTTCAGGCTGTAAACACTTTTTTCACCGTTGTATTACTTCAAAACCCAAATATAAATGTAAAAAAGATGGGAACTGTAATTTGTCGAATAGTAATTTTTTGCAATTAAATGGTGGAGGGATATTAATGATATTATGTAGAGACAAAGATGAGGATTACGGCTGGACATGACTGGTTGCTAACCGGTGTCAAAAACACCGGTTAACGGTTCCGCTCTAGTTAACCGTTTGTATCCAAATCTAATGGAGACTATTTTAGAAAATAAGACTTTCCTAGCTTAGCTTCCCTTATAGATTGCCGTATGATTAAGGGCTTTTCAATAATCTTGACA